GTGTCTTCTCCGGGTATGCCTTGCACAAAAGACCCCTGGAGCGCAGTGGTGTCGTAGGGTATGTTGCTGTCGACCACGTCACCAACTCCCTCATCAATCTCTGGAGAAAGAGGTGTGGAAAACGAGAGGGTGCTTTTGCCCAACATTGCGTTTTTGGTGTCCATCAGAGGATCAAATTCTTCCACAGCTGGAGGAGCCACGGGAGAGGAATCGATTGCAGTAACGTTAGCAGGGGAGGGCATAGTGAAGGGTGGTGCAGTGGCCTTCAGCTCGCTGTTCAGAACCAGCGGGCTAATGGAAGGGATTGTTGGGAAGAAGAGGTCTTCCGACAGAGGAGCAGGAACCAAACCCTCTTCTGGGAAGACCTCTTGTTTCCAAGTGTTGTGGCTGGAGTCCATTTCTGTGAATGAGGCCTCCACGTTAGCATGAGCCGAGCTTCCTAGTTCCTTAATCACCTCTTCTGTGATCTTGGAAGTTGTTGCAGACAAAGGAACGAATGGCTCTGCCATTACTGCCCACTCCTCCGGAAGCTTCTTCCGGCTTTTCCCCTTCTTCCCCCGGCCTCCACTTTTCCCCAACTGCTCCTCCCAGCCACCATCCCCTCTGTCTCGCCTTGGGCCGATCCTGTGGTAGAACTCTTCAGTTGGGGGTGAGTTTTCTCCCTGAGCTTGCATTTCAGGATGTTCATAAGGTCCCTCATCCTTCTGCCGCCTTTTCTTCTTCTTCTTCTGCTTCTTGTCTGAACCATCTCCATCTCTGTCATCACCACCCGCAAAGGCGGTGCTCTCCCTGCTTGGCCAACTGTCATGTCGGTCATCAGGGCTGGCTGCAAGATGGCCTGCGTGGCGACTGATCACGGTAGAGACACTGGGTGTGAAAGGAAGGTCTGTCTGTAGGCAGCCAGCCTGGTCGAGCCAGCAGTCACCTATGGCACCTTATTTTGGGTAAAGAGGGGGAAAGTTTAAAGTTGGAAAAACGTGTTGAAAGCTTCCCTTAACCTTCCTCTAAGAGACTGTAACTAAGAAACGTAGAGGGAAACATTTTTAGTACCAGCAACTTAAAACTGTGACAATGTTAGGAGTCATGAGAATTCAACACAGCTGTTTGGGTTGCTGACTCACTGCAGCCTTCGTCTGTACTTAAATAATAAAAGATTGTCATTGCTTGTCTGGTGCGCATGCAAAAAAGACATTTTGGCCCAGATATATGTATATATAAAAATAAATTACGGCAGACTACACAGACTGTAAGACCAAAACTGGAAAAGGAGGTCAGTTACACAAATCAAGTCACAAATGTGGGTATATATATATATGTATATATATATATATACTGTATATATATATATATATGTATATGTATATATATGTATATGTATATATCTGTATATGTATATGTATTTATATACATGTGTTTACATACATATATATATATGTATGTAAACACATGTATATAAATACATATACATATACACATATATACATATACATATATATACATATACATATACAGATATATACATATACATATATATATATGTATGTAAACACATGTATATAAATACATATACATATACAGATATATACATATACATATACACATATATACATATACATATACAGATATATACATATACATATATATATATGTATATGTATATATATGTATATGTATATATGTGTATATGTATATGTATTTATATACATGTGTTTACATACATATATATATATGTATATATATATATACATATATATATATATATATAAATATGGAGTGTCAATAGATCAATAGAAATATAGATGTTATTGAATTGTTGTTGAATGATTTCATAATTATTGACCAGTGTTGCTGCAACTATAAGCAACTGCAACTGCAAACATAGACCTGAAACTACAGACTCTTTGTGCTCTGTTTCCGAGCCAGGGTTGCTGTCGTGATAAATAATAAAACTGCTAGAACTCATGACTGTTTTCATGGAGCGTTTTGCTTTCTGCATGGTTACTGACGTAGATGGCTTTTTCAGTTGCTGCACTGTTGACTCATCTTGCGTTGCCTGAAAGTTCACTGTGTGCGTGCTTTCAGATTAGGAACTGAACACACAAATTAATACAATAAGTAAGGAAAGGAAAAAGCGCAGGTGGTGCCTTTAAAAGTTATTTTATAACCACTTACAAAGTTTGTGAATGAATCATGTTTATGTACTGCGCAGTGAGTCAAGCTGTGTAACGTAACGTGTCTCATTTCATCATTCTGACCAACGGCATTGAAAGAAGCGGACGTGTCTCTATATACAGATGACAGCTTTGTTTACATTCGCCGTTTGTACGCCATACATTGGATATTGCTTCATTCACTTTCTTTGGTTTGTGTCGTTTTTTGGAAACTTTTTGTCCTTATGTGCTCCCAGGCCCAGGTCAAACCTTTCTGATGTTTTTATGTCCTAGATTATGACGTTGTGTTAGCTGTGTTAGCGTAGTTGAGTGAGATTGGTGCTTATGTACAGTATGTGATTCCTGACTGCATTGTTAAGTATTCATATTTACCTTTAGCATCTATAGCATACGTGTCAAACTCAAGGCCCAGGGGCCAAATGCAGCCCGCCAAGCTGTGTTGTGTGGCCTGCAGGAGATTTAAAAAGCTAAAAAGTCCTAGTAAAGTAATTAAAAGTTGTTTTATTACAAAGCAATGAACAATATTTGTAGCTTGAAAAAATAATAATCTATCGTAGAAACATGTATTAGTCCGTTATGGAGTAGTTACATCTCTACCACCGGTCCCTAACCTTTTTTGTTCCAAGGACTGGTCAGCCAGTACCAACTGTTACTACGGACCGGTAGGACTCAATTCTGTGTGTAAATGACGTATTATTTTAAAATATTGCCAGATTATCTTTCTATCTATCTTTATATTAATAAAAACTACTGCGGACCGGTAACAAATGATTTATGGACTAGTACTAGTCAGACAGTTTAGGTATGGAGCACAATCTGCAAAGTCCAAAGTTTTTTCACAAATTCACCTCAGAGGCTCTGATTTGATTAGTTTCTAGTAGGTGATTAGTTTGCGTTCTTTTTTTTCTTTTTTTTTTGCTGTGACATTTGGCAAAAGACAGCAGGTTCTCTGTAATCATCACATGAAAAAAATACCATTGGAACCTTTGCCAAGGTGAAAATTAAAGTGTATTTTTAGGAATTACAAAGCAGGTCATTTTATCTTGGGTCAATGTGTACTTGCAAAGTGTTACACCTTGAATATTACTTTAGGAATTATTTTTATTTCTTAAGTAAAGCGAGATCTTTATTTTTCATTTGCTGTAAGGCAAAGAATCATGAGGGCGGGTCAGTTGTGACCACTGGCTACATTTTCAGCCAAGATTTTCAAGTGTCTTATAAGTGACATGAGCCACAGCATGTTCCAGATACGGCTTTACCCTCTCCGGGGTGAGACACGCACTGAGTTAGAGACAAACCCTGTGGGGGAGCTGGGAAGTCACTGCTTGGTGAAGGGCTGGTAAAGAAGGCTGCAAACACGCGCTAGCATGCAACATGATTATATAGCATATGACTTAAAGCCCGGCCCTGGTGGCACACGCTATATATGTCAGTGTCAGATGTGCATTGACCTTGAGATGGAAGCGAAATGACAGTAGAGCCAGTGTGTGTGCAGAGGAGAAGATGCAGTATAGGATTGCAACGGAAGACAGCTGACGTACACAGTAATCTGCAGCCCTCGGTGGAATGACTGAGGTAGTGCAGCAGCATCACAGTTCGTAATTGTAATTTTGTTGCAGCGCAGCGTTTGGTCAGACCATAATAAAAGACAAATAGTGAGAAAAAAAAACACCCAGGTATTAGCCTGGTATTAGTCTGATGGTCACTAACAGACATAGACCCCGGTTTCTGACCTGCTACATTTCTGAGGACAACAGAGGTGGAGAAGAACAGCTCCATTTTGAAAGGGATGCCTGTGAGTTAATCAGCGTCTCACCTTCCAGTAGATCTTCAGAGCTGCGAGGAACCTGCGGTTCAGGGAGCATTGGACTGTGATCTTTAGGAGCATCGAGGCCCAGCGTGGGTGTAGCATGCTGCGGCTCTGCTATGCTTGGAGGTCTCTCTGCCTGAAGAGGTGCAGCTCCTATCGCTACATTAGCCTCATTTCCAATGGGTTGAGAGAAACCTAAAAGGTAGACGTCCATATTTTATTACTGTTGTTATCATACTGATATTTTTGAGCTGTTTTTTTTATTTACCAAAAAACAATATGACAAAAAAAATTTGTAAAATCTTAACTAATTCTGCATTTAACCCCAATATTGATTTACTAATTACTCCAGTGTTTTTCAACCTTGGGGTTGGGACCCCATATGGGGTCACCTCAAATACTAATGGGGGCCTGAAATTTCTAGCAATTGAAAAAAATTATAAAATATTTTTCAAATGATTATTATTCTTTAAATTCTTAAAATTCTTTACCTAAAATTTAAATTATATTAAAAAAATTAAATTAAAAACACAAGCTTTAACAAATGTATTCTTTCACTTTTATGAATATACTTTAATATCATCATATCAGGTAGTAGTAGTAGAGCAGTACATATTTCCTGGGTTTATTTTAATTTAAATAAACTCTGAGTTAAGATGACACTGTCCAGTGTCATTGATTATAGATGTTAACCTGAAACTTATTTTTTCACATTTTATTGTAATGACGACTTTGATTTATTTGCACTGGGCAGCCACGAGGAAAAGTCGCCATGTCGTACCTGAAAAATCTCCCATCATGTCGGTATCCATCATTTCAAAGTCCAGAGGATTTAGGTCACCTGACATTGAGTCTGCCAGAGGGAACAGAAGCAGAAACAAAGACTGAATGAAAAACAAAAAAAATATGATGAAGGAAACCTGATCGTAACTATTTTTCAAAAAAATGAGAGAATATATTAAAAGCAGGTAAATTCAGCTTTTGGACAAGTAAAGACATCTCTCAAAAGAATCTCACTGGCAAGAAATTTAGAAAATGCATTGATCTGAAATTTATACATAGTATTTATTTAATATTATTATCATATATAGAACATTTATACATACATATACTCATATACACATATAAATAAACATATATAAACATATAAATATATATAAATATTTGTACTTATAGATGTATATAACATATATACATATATAATTATAAATATATATACTGTATAATTATATGGACATACATATATACACATATATTATCGGCCTGATATTAGCATAATTTTATCTGTAAGAATCGTTATCGTTTTTCCTCCGATAATGAAAAGCCAATAACGCATTGCCTGGCTTTCGTCAAATGATGTTTGCCCTAAAAATTGTTTTGGGGATATACCGCTGTATATGAAAGTGAAAGTCACTAGATGGCAGCATTGCAGCTCATTGAATCAATCGATTAATAATCAGGCGATTGTATGCATAATGTGGTTTGTACAGATGAATAAATAAATATTAACAGGCCTATATTGGTATTATTAAGTATTTGGATAATATCGGCATATCTGATATCGGCAAAAAGTTAATATCGGGCGTAACTACTTTTCACTGAAAATTTGCGTCTCATACACAGGCAATTACATATATATGTTATATATATTATATATGTAATAAATATATATATGGGAGATGAGAGATAAGGGGTTACATATATAACTACTTCTTTATATATGTCGGTATATATTTACGTATGTAAATATATATATGCAGGTCTGAGTCTTCGATTGCTCTTTAGAAGAAAAGATAATGGTTCTTGAACTTCATACCTGATAAGAAATCTGTGGCCAAGGCCTGCTTCTGGTCAAATGGACGCACCTCACCTTGAGGCTCCGCGTGTCCCACAGTTGTCTGTCCCCCCGAGGTCAACTTAAAACCTGCAACGACAGGATGGGTGATCCTTTAGAGATGAAGCCTCACGGTGCAGTTCAAAGTTAATGACATGCAGCGTGCTGAACACAAACACATCTTCACTCTGCTGACTATAGAAAAAAAACAAAAAAACAACTAAACACTTCTACAGTCAAATGTCCCCAAAGACGACATACTGTCTTGACCGTAAGACAAACACCTGCTCTCTTACCTGTTAAGTAACATCCAACCACCAGAAACCAAGGTCCCATACGGTGCCTAGGTCTGACTGTGTCTGCTACTGCCTCAGATGAGCGACTCACACAGAGAACCCCCCCCCCCCCCGCGACCCCCCTTCCAGTCACAGACACACAAATGCCACACAAAGACATACACCCACACACAAACACAAAAATGCATTCTCTGTTGTAGTGTCTGGGTTTACTTGTCACATCTCTCTCTCTCTCTGTCTGGTTCAAGTTCTAGCACCTGGCAGCTAATACCCCCCCCACCCCCACACTGTCTGCCTGTGAGCTCTTAAGAGTCACCTTTAAACCCATTTCCAGCTATAAACAGAACAGAACACAAAACTGGACCTGTGACTGACTTATATAACGTGTCCGGATAAGAGGCGGAATCAAATCAGGGAAGAAAAGAATGGATAAATGAAAGGAAATGAGGGGACAGATGAAGAAAAAAAAAAAAAGGGAGAAGAAGGAAGCACTTGCAGCACAGCCTCCCAGCAGCGTCCACAGTGTGACATTGAGGTGAACAGACAGACAGACAGAGGCAACGGGGGAGATTTGTGTGTAGTGTCTAGTGTGTCTCGGTGCCACAGAGAAAAATTTTTCAAAAGTAATTTTTTTTTTTTTTTTTTTAAATACAAAATTTCTCAGAGGATCATTTTCTGATTGGTTAAAGTCACAATTTAAGGAAATAAAAAATATAATGGTCACAGCAAGTTCAACCACAAACATTGTACATGTTCGCAGTCTAAGTTACTGAGGTATAAATATTACTGCTGGGAACGTTAGCGTTCCCTGCTGAGCTGTGTTGCTGTCCAAAGTGCTGAAATCAACCGCTGGGACTTCTGGGAAATCTGTTGTCAATATGAAAAAAAAAGTCTCAATTATAATATAAATTATCTTTAACGGCACTGCACGCCCGCAGAGACGACAACAAATTCCATTTGAAAATGTTCTTTTGTCTGTCATTCGCAATGCCATGAACCTGAAATATCTGATCTCTTTAAGTGCGAACCCTTTTTTTCTTTTTTTTTTTTACCAAATTACACAAAAGCGTCTGCTGAAGTTGCTGCTGGGAGGTCGCTAACCTCGGGACGAGGACAAAAAGTGCAAGACAGACCGGAGCAACACTGGTCCGGACAGATGAACCGAACATCTTCGAGGCATTTGAGGACACAGACACGTACACACACACGCCGTTAATGGACTAATGTGGTCAAACGAATGCTCATGCATCCACAACTGGGACAAAGATGAGTGCGTACTCACGCCAACACAGTCGCTGCACACGTTCATGCTGAATGAAAGTATGACATATTCGCATAGGACACAAGACGACCAAACATTCATGCGGTTTATTCAGCCTCAAAAATAAAGGGGATATATCTACACACCAAGGCAAACACAGACACAGAAATCCTACTCTATAAAGGGGATGTATCTACACACAAACACACACCAAGGCATGCAAACACAGACACAGAAATCCTACTCTAATTTGCAAACATCATGGTCCATGAAGCCTTCTGTTGAACTTCATCTCACCGCTACCTTGAACCCATCTGTCACTCAGATAGCGCACCTAACCTTCATACAGTGCCACCGTTTCATCATTGCATCTGTAGTACGTTTCTTGGGCATTATTTCAAACTAGTTGCTATTTAGTTCATTGTCAAAACTAAGTACAGTAGTCCCTCGCTATTTCGCCGTTCATCTTTCGCGGATTCATGACTTCGCGTGTTTTTGAAACTGTATATATATATATAATATGCAAGAGATGTCACAGGAATGGGATGACGAACTGGTTCGATCGGTACAGTTTTGCAAAAAAACCGCCGCCGCGGAGCCTGCCTACAAGCTACTCTTCGACTGGAAAAAGAAGCAGCGGAAGCAACTGCCGATCACAATGTTTCTGCAGCTTCGCAAAAAAGAGCCGGTTCCTGCTACTACTATGGATACACCTTCGGAAAACCGTGGAAGAGGTGCTCCAAGAAATGCCACCACCCTCTGAAGAGACGTTAAATTAGTCATCGGTAAAAGTCATCATCACCTTCCTCGTCATCATTTTACTGCGCATAAATATGGTGTCACTACTTTACGGAAATTCAGTTCTCGCGACAGGCCTTGGAACCTATCTACCGTGATAAACGAGGGACCACTGTATCTACATTTTCTATTTAAAGAAAGGCTTCATTCGTGAGAAATGGATTGATAGAAACATTTAAACAGGTCATCTTTTACTGCTTGACTGGTTTAATGTCATGATAACAAATTGCTGAGTGTTGCTGAGTGCAGTCACAGGTCTCACGATGACACTAAAGCAGTTTGACAATAATGTGCCTTGGCACGCTTTCAAGTGGCAAGGTGGAGTGGACTGTGCAGCGAAGTTGACCACTTGCCCTTGTCGTGCACGTCTGTGTCCATAAATATCTAAAAACCCTTCGGACTTTCAATTTAGGGTTTATTCATATCCACGTTCGATTGTAAGGTTAACGGCCCGGGCTTCAACGATGGTCGATAATATCGGCCGACCGAAATTATCGGCCCGATATTAGCATAATTATGTCATATCCGAAAAAAATTGCTATCAGTTTTTCCTCCGATAATGAAAACTCGCCTGGGTTTTGCCTTATAAGGTCCTAAGACGTTTACCTCAGTTTTGGGGGCAAACTGTATATATCAGAATTGGTTGATATCGGAATCGGAAATATAGTGTTTGAACAATATCCGCACATCGGACATTGGTTAAAAAGTTATTATCCGACATCCCTACTAACGACCGTTTTCATCTTAGCGTCACTAGACACAGATTATATAAGTGAGCCAAACAGCAGAGCTAAGTCTAGCGCACACCAACAGGATTTGCACAGTCAGAATCCTTTACATCAACAGAAGAACACATGCACTTCGGGAAGAGGAGGGAGGAGAGTCACTGGCTGCCGACTTTAAAGGCACCGTCTCCCTCAGACAGAAAGGGATCAGGTTTCCTTCCTGCGCAGGGATTAAACCCGCATCGTGAATTTTTTTAAAGGAGATTTTCTCAGTACTTCTGACACATCACATCTTCCACTAAAGGCCAACAGCTAAAGTTTAGCCTTCAACACAGGAAGGGGGGGAATCCTCTGTAGAATGTAGGATGAGTCGAGCTGCTGCAGCATACCGTCTAATATTCTCAGCCGTACGGCCGTAATTCAGCAAACAAATTCTTTAATTTCCGCAGCATAATTATATTACTGCTACTGTTTTTTTTTGCAAATCATTGTTTGATTTGTATGTATTATCTATATTTCTTATCTATCTGTTGAAAAGCATTGTCGTCGTATCTTGTCTGCTGTGTATGTGTGGGGATTGAGGCTAAGGATTAAGTAAGGAATACATGGGGTCCTGGATTTACGTCAGAAAGTTGTTGCTACGGTGTGCACTCGGAAGCCGCGTGTATAGCTTGTGACAACGTAATTGTCATCCTCACTCGCCAGTTCCCACTAGCTCTACATATACATACACATATTTTTCACTCTGCTTGGGGAGCATTGCGTGGGGACGAAGCCATCTTTAGCGTACCTCAGCGGTAACTGGTGGCTAGTGGGCTAGAACCTGCAACCTTCGCGGCACAAGTCTACTTCGTTAACCTTTAGGCTACCACTCGGTATCTGTGAATGACTGTGCATCAAGCATCACGGTGGACTAAGGGAATCAGATTGTAGTGTATTTTAAGGAACTCAAGCGGAAAACTCGTTGAAAAAAGCTCAAAAAAGTTTATGAAAATAACAGATATCACTAAGTATTTTTCATATAAGTCCAAACGAGTTCCACGAGTAAATTCCTTTTTCGTTGAATCCTTGGGGACGTCTTCTGAACCAGGTCACAACTTGCGTCGTTACCCCGTCTCAGGACTAAAAATTCTGTTCTTTCAAATTTTAGGACGGAGCTTACTAAAACAAGTTGTAAGATTGTTTTATCTGAAATAGTAGCACTGTTGTGTCTTTAAACATTTTCAGTCCTCTTTGTAGCTTCAAAAGACAAACAGAGACAAGGGAAAAGCCAAGTGAAGAAAGATGACACAGTACAGAAGGTGGTTTAGTTCAGGTTGATTTGACGAATAAAGGCAAACCCACAGCCACATGAGTGTGTGTTAGATATCGCTTTATTAGCATGAAGTACAGGTAGACAGGCAAAGAGAGATGCAGAGCCACAGTATAAAAGGGTTACTGTGAATAATATTAGAAAGCATTAATAGAAGAGATACACTATTTGAAGGTATCGTGGATTAGAAAAAAAAAGAAATAAAGCATTCACAGTTATCGAACAGGGTAGAAATCTAGATTAGGGATGGCTTGATCCAATATTCAGGATCAGTATCTGCGCGATTTTGGTCAAAATTACAGGATAGAACATATCCAAAAATAGAACTGAAGAAGCCTCTTGGATGAGAGGTGAAATGTCTTCAAGAAACCTACTCTGTCCAGTTCCCCTCGATGTAACTATTTTTTGGATAAGATGACCTGGATGAACGAGAACCTACACAGACAGGATAGAACAACTGTAGCCTGTCTGATCCGATACCTTAGCGCGAATGGTAAACTGTTTTGAAAGGACACTATCGCCTCAGCAACGGCAACTCGTAGGAGGAGAAAAGGATGTATCGGATTGATATGAGTATCGGAAGATACTCCAAGTTGCAGTATCGGTATCAGATGTGAAAAAGTTGTATCGAGCCGTCCCTACTCTAGACGATAAATGTGTTTTACTATGTTAGCTAGCATTGGCTCTTTGACCTATTACTGTCTTTGGTACCTTAAAATTACTTTGTCTCATAGATTGTAAGTTAAACTCAAGGTCAATTTACTGCCACTGTATGTCAACCTGAGGGCTAGCACTCTACTAGACCTTATCCATAAGTCAATCTTTACGTAGTGACCAGTGAAAACAAGATACGTTTACTTTGTATATAACTCTAAGATCAAAGCCATCACTACTTTTGGTTCAGGGGGAAAATAAAACAAGCAAAAAAAAAAAAAAAGATCATCCACAAAAATAAATCTTAATGACCCCAACAAATTACAAAATGATGAATTACACAAACAATGTTTAGGCAAGAATGTTAAGTCCATACAAAGGTTTGTAGTACAACTACAAAAGACAGCAACAGAGATTCTACTGTGGAACTGTAGTTTCGTAGCGTCATGACTTTTTTTTTTATGAGGGGAATTAAAGTGCTGGAAAAATTGACTAAAACTATTCCATATATATATTGATATAGTCTTTACACAAAAAACAATATATTTACTGACACACTAAGAGTAGAGTGCAAGATACTTTACAGGGACATATATAGTTATATAGTGAGGACACCCTATGCCACCTGACATTTTTGGGTATATGGATATTTAATGTCAATTTTGACAATAACGGAAGATTAAAGTAAACTTAGTAGTAAAAAGTGAGAAAAAAAAGACCTTTTTAATTTTTCAGAATTTTCGCCTAAAATTGGTGACACTGTTCTTTGCAAAATTAGCTGCTTATAATTTTAATTACTAATTAATATTAATCAGCATACTGGAGGAGGTGTGCGATATTTAAACGTACAGTCTCCTAATGTTTCCTGCCTGAGTATCATGGTGAGGCCACTAACGCTGCACTTCATTGGTCGGCCGTCGGTGGAAATTATGGTGTAGAAAAAGACGTAGAAGTGTGTTCATGGGTATTTCTAAAATTTTAAAATGATTTTGATGTGATGGTGATGATGTGATGTATTGACAATGTTCAAAATAAAACTTTTTTTTTTTTTAAATATCCTCCAGAGCAAAATTAAATCATTATTGATGTCTCGTTGCAGGCTGCATTTAAAGGTCTTGTGGGCCAGACGTGGCCCACGGGCCGGGAGTTTGACACCCCAGGTTTAAGTTTTTATCAATTTGAAATTATGAGGTTCTGACATGTTCACTGGTGACTGTGATGAGCTCCATAAAATGGAAACATGTCTGAGAGAAGGAAATTAGATTTGAGCCTCTGAAACCAAAATGGTTAAAAACAAAAGGAACTAACTGTAGTAGTTGCGTAGTTTTGAGTTAAAAATCATATCTACCATTAGATCAGGCTTATGTTATTTACCAAAGTTACCAAAAGAATACTGGTAAATGGTCCAAATGCATAACTGGTCATTTTTACTCCCTGGAAAAAATTCAATTTCGATTTTGTTGGTACTTTGGTAGTCAGCAAATCGAGGTAAGACCACAGTTAAAAAACTGAAACTATTATGAAAATCAAAACTTAATGACATGGAAATATAATTTCAGTGGAACTAATGGCGTACTTGGGCAAGAAAACTCGCTCAATAACTCCATAAATTGAATTTAAAATGTGATGATGTGTCTTTCAAAAGGCAATATAAGGTGAACAAAATCACAGTGTGCCAAAAATCCGACTTGGCGTGGGGGGCGGGGGGTATTGTGATTACTATTATTAAACCTATATTAGGCATACAAGACTTGGTTTTAGAATTTGAAGTTTGGTGGATCTAGATTTGTGCAGCTCGCACAGGGTACAGGGAGAGGTGCAGTGACTCGGAAGCACAGCTGATTGACAGTCGGCAGGGTGGTGGAAGGCGGAATCTAGTCCTCTGAAGCATGGGATTGAGAAAGGAGAGGAGAAGAAAAAGACAAAGGAAACAAGGGGGGAGGTGTGGGTATGGAGGTGAGGGGGGGTCAAAGGAGTAGTGCCCGAAAATAAACCAAAGGTGAACAAAAAAAAAATCGAAGAAAAACAAACAAAGTATGTACGGAATGTAAAATAAACAACCGAAACCCCAAAAAGTAAATCAAATAAATAAATAAAGAGGATTTTAATGGGAGAAAAAATTGGGATCACAAATGGGGATAAAAGGGGGGGAAAGGAAGAAAGCAGGTTAGTAAAGCTGTCAACAAACCAACCGATAACTGTCTCAAGGCTCTAAAATACTGGTCTTTATCATGCAATAGAGTCATGCAGTGAAGGTCACATGCATCATGTACACACACTCACACACACACACACACAGCATGTAAACACAAGTACATACGTCCACTAGTATTTGTTCTGGTTGACCAGTGGTATGTTTTTCCTATTGAGGTTCAGTGTTTGGGCGTATATTCTTCACTGACCACGAGGGGTGCTATTACTACCAGCAACTTCAAGCCACTTCAGTTAGCTGTTAGCAAAGACGAACAAATGCAATTTTTAGATTTTAAGGTCTGCTGCTTTGGGGACACTACAGTTAGCAGTGGAAAAAGCAAATTCCAAAAGGGTGGAAAAAACGTCCCATATTTACATTACATAAAAAAACAAAAAACCAAAAAAAAAAAAACCAATCAGCTGTCCTTATGGTAACACATCAGACTTGCTAACCCACTTGAAACAGCGTGCAAGAGCACCGAAAAACTATACCTGACTATACCTTTCTTCGGTATGCTCAAGATCCTCGTTACGCGGCATTTTGTTATTTGTAAATAAACATTCACGTCGAGGATTTTGCATATTGTTAAACACCTAGTAAATATAAATATATATATATATATATATATATATATATATATGTATGTCTATGTATATATATATATACAGGTGCTATCAGGATTTAGCTCATACTCTCATTTCTCTGACCCAGTTACTTCTTATAAACCACCTGCGTGCCGGTTCTGCTCCCCAGAGTCGGCGGAATAACAGTGATGAATGGATATAACGCACCTTCATACAGTCATATATTTAGTCAGAAAAAAAAAACAAACACGAACTATGGTATGACTGCTATATATATATATTGATATATTTGACAGCAAAAAGAGAGTAATAGAGAGATATATATAGTCTAAACCAAACACACACACACACATGCACACAAAGGCACTGTTTGTTATGTAAACAGCCACGTACAGTAGCTCAGGGTTGAACATGCCAACAGTTATGCGATACGACATGTAGGTCACTGCTCCCTCTGCCACCACAACAGACCTTTGAGTCACCGGACTCCCCAATACAAAGACAATTAACATGACAATGTACAGTACTAATATGACCGTTATATAACCTTACACTAACACCCCCGCAAATTAGAAAATACTATTCAGAACCTGAGAACATGTATATTTTTATCTGTACAAACCACTGTATGAGTTGCTGCCACCTAGTGACCGGGAGGCTTATTATCCTTCAAGCATTACAGCGGTGGTACACTTATGTCCAGAGTGCTATATTCCATTGGAAGCCCTTCACGCCCCCCCCCCCCCGCCACCCGGCCCCCGACACACTGCCCCTAACCTTAACCCCGCCCCACTATTTGAGAAGTACTGCACTAATAGGTGGAATCTTATCTATATAATATTTATGTGAGTATAAGTCAGTACAAGGTTGCACTCTGACAGTATCAACATAATTTCAAATGACTAATAGCAAAAGGATCTGTATTGAGGTTATGGCGACCTCTACTGTACAGTCTGATATTGTCTTGTTATTGTTGTTGTTTTTTTTCCTGCTTGCATTACTTTACCTACAAAATGTATTGTTTTTTGTTTGTTGTTATTGGGTTTTTTTGCATGGTCATTTTTTGAAATTAACATAACCTATAAATGTATTTTATTTTCTGGTCACACTTTCTGAGTTGCACGAAAGCCAATCTACTTTTTTTACTGAGGAGCAGTGAATCTGTCGCAACCAAAACAACCGTCTGACGAAAACCGCTGAATTTTCAGCAGCACTCGGAAAAAATATGCAGCTCTATTTTTATACCATGTGTGACTCGGCACTAACTCCCCCTCTCCCTTCACGAAAAGAATTTGTTCCAGGATTAATGAGTGACACATGGGTAGACGAACAATGTCACAAATTCTAGGTTTTCGTTTTGACACGTTACGGTAATATCAGGCTCTCCGGGATTAAAGGGGCTCAGCATATGTGATTATTACGTGTCAAAAAGAGATCAGTGCAAGTCTTGATCATAACAACCGAAAGAAATATCGTCTATGCATTCAGGTATTTTAAGATTCTAAGGTGAGGTTAAAGGCTTAAGGCTAAAGCAAAACATAGACTACATTATAAAAGTAAAATATAAGCTGTGGCTTTAACCAGACATGGTGACTTACTTTTTTTTTTTTTTTTTTGCATCATATTCAATTTGCCATTGATTAAACAGCATTAGGAAATTGATCAAGCCTGAATGTTCTTGGTCTCAGTAGGCCGTCTAATGGATGGTTTGAAAGCAATAAGAGCAGCCAGGCTAAAGGCCAAGAGCTGTGGGCACAAACGCACAAACACACACAGATGGAGGTGATGAAGAAATGAGCAAAGGCCGTGAGCGAAGGTTGACCAAGACGAAAAGGCCGTTGCAGACTAACTGGCGGCAGAGGTGAAGGGATTAGGTGTTAGGTGGGTCTTACCAGGCTTTTGTGCGCCATGCGCCTTCTGCTCTCCATTCTCCAGCACAGTACCTGTGTCTGCATGCACGCATGCACAAAAATAAACATACAAAAGCGAACACATCACTATCAACGTATCACTGCAAATGTCTTCGTCAAGCACGTTTTTGCCGTGATTTGGGTGACTTCAACTGCTAGCAAATTTAGTTGAGTGTTTTTCATCACAAACTTTTATTTTGAAACATTTTCCAACAACTGCATTCATGTCATACAGTAGCATACCTCAAAGATTTAAAACTTGCCATAAAAAATGCCCATAAACTTTTGTTTTATCCAAAGATTTAAAACTTGCCATAAAAAAAAATGCCCATAAACTTTTGTTTTATTATTGCTTCTACCAAGGAGAGGTGGCTAGCTTGTTGTTGACTCTGAACTAAGGCTAGGGTTAGCATTGGCTCCTTTCCATTTGTTAGCCCCTCAGGTAGCTTCCTTTTCTTGTTCTTTCAAACAGAACACTGACTGAGGACAAAACTTCGCAGACTGTCTAGTCATGCAGTTTGCCAGCATGTCAGTGTTTGTCCAAATCCAGTAACAACACCCACGGCAGCCGGCTGCGACTGACGAGTGCACATACTGAGTCTGAATGTCCCTAGACAGGCCCTAGAGCTGAGTCATTCCCAGGTCACTGTCATTTTGTTTAATCTGGTTTATATGAGGTCAGTGGTTTGTTTGAGTCGTCTCCGGTTTTGTTTTTATCCTCCCTTTATTTTTCTTTTCAAACATATATAAATAAATATACTGTATATTTACATATATACACATATTTATATAAAGTATATATATATATAATAAAATCTAAGTATATAGCTATACATTCTGTTTCAACAACATGTAGATAAAAAAGTCTTATTTATGTCATATTTAGGAATGATGACTTTATTACCATTATAAATTTGATTCATCATGATAAATTCACATCTGATTAACATTTGATTAACAAGCGTAGTTACAATGTTTTGTTTTTGAAAAAAAAAAATTTATTCTGACAATATTTTATAATTGTGTGCAATATAATAATGATTTTATTCAAGGGTAAAAAAATATTAAAATATATTTGAATAAAAATCTTTGGCCCTTTTGTTTCATATAGCCCCCAATCAGCTAAAGCTATTTTATTTTTAAAAATTTTGTTGTTGTAATTTTATGTTGCTAGGTTAGCTGATGTTATTGTCATGCCGTACAACAACGCCATATAGGTCTCACCAGTCTTGGTATCATCATTGTCCAGTAGAGGGATGTAGTCCGTCTTCCCCACCGTCTCCCCTATCTGATCATCAAAGGCCTCCGCCTCCAGTTGAGCCACAAAGTCCCGCTGCACTAGGCTCTCCGGTCCTGTCTGGGGAGCGTCGGTGAGTGCATCACTTAGACTCAGGTCCAACTCTGCCATGGCTGCACACAGGAACAAAGACACAGGAATGAGAAGGAAATAAATTATTTGATCAACCCTAACCATATTAGATGCCGCAAATACACAAGAAACAGATAATTACATTATTGACTGAGGTTGTTTAACTGTTGCTGTAAGAGGTCGATAAAATGTTCCCTAAATCCCGCCTTATGCCACGGGGAGGCACTGTTTCACCTGGAATAATGCTGCAGGAAGCCGTACAATTTGTACCTAAACATGAACCCAGACACAAACAGAGACAAACTAAGTCGTCATGAGCTCATCTGGGAGTCCAGCTGACCAATGGCTATCAGGGGGAATTTGCAGAGTCATGTTGTGTCATATTCCAACTATAATGCCAGATTATCTGCAGGCCAGCAGCAGCAGCGGTACCAGCTAACAGCCTTCCTGTTCTGCTCAGACACACTTGTTTATCTGCCTCTAATTTTACTTCAATTTCACTTCCTTTTCCACATCATCATAAAGGCACGTGAGGCGAGCGGCTCGAGATAATGTCTGCCTTTGGTCGGCCTGTCCATGAGACATACAAATGCAGACTGCCAAGTTGCAACATCCTGATAAAAGTCATAAAACAACAAGATTTTATAACTGAATTTTCAAATGAAAAACCGTTGACAACAACAGCCCCATCTGCTGGATGATCCACTTATTTTAGAAAAAAAAAAAGCTGCCTAAAGTTATCCAGCAACTCTGATACAGATATTGAAACAATTGCGCAACAAATCCATTTATAAGTGATTACTATACAAATACCCATAAATCACAGCCAGAGGGATTTCGCAGCTTCGCAGCATGGTTCGTTCGGTCAGGGTATATCATCCCTTCGCAAGTTGATCAGTTCTGACATTTAGTTTTGCGATGCTCACCGATAATACTGAATAATTAGCTTTGAATTTAAACCTAGTGCATACAATTTCTAATAAGGTTCATGATATTTTAGAGTATCGAAAATAAAAAAATGAAGAAAAAAACCAATGTGCTGCTTATATACTATCTATATGTGTGTGTATAGATATGTATGTATATATTTTGAAATGTTTATTTCTATATATATATATATATAATACAATATACAAATATTTATAGCAATATATGCACACACATACAGCACATATATATATTGCTATATAAACACATATATATTGCTTTTCTAAAAATGAAAGTGAAACAAGTTTATTGTCAAAAGTAAATCAGTAGAGTCCCTAAAACTCTTGGCGCCAAGTGGCCAAGCGGTAAGAGGACTGCCACTGGCAGGGGACAAATTTCATTGTGTGTCTGTATTCGTACAATGGCCAACAAAGACGAGCTTTTCTGTTATAGAAAATAAAATAATTTGGATTATTTTAATTTTGAATTAATTCATTTGAGTCACAAGTTAAAAATCAACATTCTTCCTCGCTGTACTATAACAAAAGGCTTTGTTTAAAGAACATAAAGTTGATAAGTGATCATACAATTACTATACAAAGGAACAGTCATTACATGTCCGGAAGCCAGTGTGTCAGTAGCACTAAATCTGACTATTGTACAGAGTCCAGGGTGTGTCACAGGAAGGTCTTGGCCACAAAACCACCCCAGTCTGAAACACTGCCCTAATGTCCATATTTAATGTGTGTGTAGCGGAGAACCTAGGATCCAGCTGTAAAGTTAGTCAATTATATATAAGTTGAACACTGGAGAAGCACCAGCTGTTTGAATATTCAACAAATAGAAGAATGAACTTTTCTGTAGTACAGTGGGATGGATATGGAAGTAAACTGAATATAGGGTCAAGTACTTCTGCTCATGCCAGACTGCTGTTTCCTCCTCCTGTGAGGCGTGGTCACTGAGACTCGATGTGGAAAAAAGGAAGGAAGGAAATCCACAGGAAAAAAATTGTTTCAAATGTGGCTTCTTTTTTTGTTGTTGTTGCATTGTATACTTCCCCTTTCATATGTAGACCCGACCTTATGAAACTTGACTCTGAGATCATAGTGATGAGCCCCATTGGAAGTGAGAGTTTTTACAGATACTGATGGATAGATAGATAGATAGATGGATAGATAGATAGATAGAGTGATATATAGATAGATAAAGATAGATAGATAGAAAGATAGATAGATAGAAAGATAGAAAGTTAGATAGTTAGATGGGTAGATAGATAGATAGGTAGGTAGATAGATAGGTAGATAGATAGGTAGATAGGTAGATAGATAGGTAGATAGATAGATGGATAGATAGATAGATAGGTAGAAAGATAGATAGATAGAAAGATAGAAAGTTAGATAGTTAGATGGGTAGATAGATAGATAGGTAGGTAGATAGATAGGTAGATAGGTAGATAGATAGGTAGATAGATAGATAGGTAGATAGATAGATAGATGGATAGATGGATAGATAAATAGATAGATAGATAGGGAGATAGATAGGGAGATAGATAGGGAGATAGATAGGTAGATAGGTAGATAGATAGGGAGATAGATAGGGAGATAGATAGGTAGATAGATAGGTAGATAGATAGGTAGATAGGTAGATAGATAGGTAGATAGATAGGGAGATAGATAGGGAGATAGATAGGGAGATAGATAGGGAGATAGATAGGGAGATAGATAGGGAGATAGATAGGGAGATAGATAGGGAGATAGATAGGGAGATAGATAGGTAGATAGATAGGTAGATAGGTAGATAGATAGATAGATGGATAGATGGATAGATAAATAGATAGATAGATAGGTAGATAGATAGGTAGATAGGTAGATAGATAGATAGGTAGATAGGTAGATAGATAGATGGATAGATGGATAGATAAATAGATAGATAGATAGGTAGGTAGATAGATAGGTAGATAGGTAGATAGATAGATGGATAGATGGATAGATAAATAGATAGATAGATAGGTAGATAGATAGGTAGATAGGTAGATAGATAGATAGATGGATAGATGGATAGATAAATAGATAGATAGATAGGTAGAAAGATAGATAGATAGAAAGATAGATAGATAGAAAGATAGATAGATAGAAAGATAGAAAGTTAGATAGTTAGATGGGTAGATAGATAGATAGATAGATAGCTCTGACGCCAATCAACATAATGTTCTCATTACATTATGTGAACTCAGTATGGACTCAGTACTCACGGATGACACCCACACCCTTGGTGAGTCACTATATTGTGATGACATAATCTGTGGTTTCTCTGTGTGACTTGTGAGTGTCTCAGATGATGTAGAGAATATTCTGGAATGCCTCTTCATCACATTTTTGTACTCCTAACATTTCATTTTCAGTTTTGTCAGTGTGTTTCTGTTAGTCCAGAATGTTGTTGACTCGCATGCTTTATTTTGGAAACAGGTTTAAGAATTTGGAAATGTTCAGTTAGATAACTGACAATTCTCTCTATCCATCCACTTAAACTTCTCAGTTTAATCACAAACCATAAGCTCCGAAGGTCTGTACAAATCTATAGCAGAAAAACTAGTGGCAATATAGGATCAATTTTTGGAAAATTCTTACACAACTGCTACTCTGCTAAGTGTAATCTAGTGTAATGTTCCCATTTTGGGACTGTCACCAAATTTGAAAACAAACTAAATATTATGGATTTACATCATGTTATAGTGTGAATTTTATGTTTCAAATACAAATATCCGAAATTAACTTTTTTCCAAAATCCGATATGCCGATATTATCTAAACATTTAATTTCCAATTCCGGTATCAATTGATAGCGATATATGCAGCCGTTTTTTTCCCAGCATATTTGGCAATACCCAGGCATTGCCAGCAGAGTTCTTCGACCTGTCATGCAGAGCAACACACTGCAGTAATAACTGTTGCCATGATGCAACTATAATTACCTGAGAAATGTAAAAAGCCAAAAGTAGAAAAGTGTGAGGTTCTCCTTAAATCACACAGAGTAGGAACTAACTGCCCTGGAATGCTACACAGCCATCGTCATCCAAAAGACATCAGTGACATCTGTCAAAGCCAAAGACAGAGTACCATGACGTTGAGAGAAAGGAATTAAAAAAATGTCTTTGGTTTTGTGGGACTTTGCAACTGATCGAGTTCATATGAAGCCACCCAAGGACAATGACATTTACAATTACCTGTAAATCTGTTTCATTATTTTTTTTTTTATAACTGATAGGGCCTCATATTGTGCCCTAAAGCTACATGCAATTGTCTAGTACCCAAACATATAATGGACTATATATATAAAGTATATTCAGTTTAAATGAGTATTGTCTAGTACCCAAACATATAATGTACTATATATATATATGATGTATATTCAGTTTAAATGAGTAAATATATAAATATATATTAAATATATATTTCTGGTCATATGAATAGTAGCTACTAAGCCAAATAACCAATGCTGTAAGACAGAGGTGTCAAACCTATTTTGATTCACGGGCCACAGACAACCACTGGTACGGCCCACATAACCTCATATGTACACGTATATTAGATATATATTTATTCATATTTAATAAAATATAATTTCACAAAAAATATCATGATCGTGTAATGTTTTACTTCTCAAAATTCATCAAGAGGTCTAGGTATAAACAAAACAAAAACAGTCAGAGTGATTGGTTCTTATCCCGTTTTCCATAACAATCCAAGTGGCAACTACAACAATCAACCCCATATTTATCACAGCTTTTGGTGACCCAAATCACACATTCATTTCAGTTTAATGAGTGCAGTGCGTGATTTGTTTCACAGCACGCCGCCTATAAAGGAAGTGGAAAGCACAAGTCACTGATGTCATTTTCAAGGAGAGGTGGGACATTTCCCCTTAGCCTGGCTGCTCAGCTTACTGTGTTACCATAAAAAAGGGTGTATCCTGTAGGCGTGTGCGTTGCTTGAATGAATGAGCGTGGAACACAGTTGTTGCAGCTGACCTCTTCGGAGACTGAAAAGACCAAAGGCGAAATTGGCTGCGTTGAAATCACTAGCTGTTTACCACTTTTGGCTAACAATACCATACCA